GTCGGAGGTTTACAGGGACTCCATGACCTGACCCACATGGACAGCTGCAGGAACAAAGGATTCCAAGAACAAAGAATTCCTACACCAAGAAGTTTGCAACAACCAACCACACTCCCGCCCCTTTTTAGTATAAAAGGAGCCTGCAGTCTGACTTGAGTAGGATGGTTCTCCAAGACATTAGTCTGCCATCCTCTCAGTCTGCTGGCTTTCTGAATAAAGTCACTATTCCTTGCCCCAGCACCTCGTCTCCTGATTCACTGGCCTGTCGTGCGGCGAGCAGAAGGAGTTTGGACTCGGTAACATATACACATTAACTGTTCTGGATTATCTTTATTCGTTTGCATTCACTGAGCACTTCAACCACCAATCTCTTTAAATTCCTTATACAATTTCAGAAAGAAAAGATTTGGGGAGTAGGACAGAGTGTAACAGTTCATGGATATCATATAATTTTAGATCTATCTGAAAAACTGAAAAATGTAGGTTATCGAGGGGGTTAAGTGAGGAGACCCGAGGCCCTGGGAGGTTTGGGGGCTGGCTCTGGGTGGCCTCCCGTGTGGCAGAGCTGAAACTTGAACCTACATCTAGTCATGTGATTTTTTTTCTTCTATTGTCCTCTCTCTTATAGGAAAACACAGGAAAGGCCCACAAGAAAGTTGTCTCATGGTCTCACTCAAAGAGGGAGAAAGGGGAAAAGGAGGGAGATTCTATATGGCTGTAGAAATGCTGTTTTCAGAAAAATAATAGAAAAGAGATTTTCTTGACTTTTGTTACAGTTAATTATTATCATTAACTGTAATGATACTCACCGCCTTTGCCAAGGAGTTGGAATGCTTTCCAAAAAATTGTTTTCCTGTCTACCTAATCTCAATTTGCAATTTTAGCTAAATTTGTTTCAATGACATATGCTTAAAACATGTAAAAATTAAAAGTACTGTTCTTTTATCTCAAGTCTCAAGCTGAGCACTTCACTACCCCTAATTAATACTTTGTTTCATTTATAGTATCTGCTAACATCTTTTAACTCTTAAACTGTAATGGGCAGCACATTTTTAACATACAATTCTTATATTCAATATAAAATTAAAAAAGTCTCCAAAGTCATTTTTCATGTTTTCGAGAGATGGGGATGGTTCTAGACGTTATAAATGTGCCAGAGGCAGCGATGCGTCTAGGCTTAGGCTATTCAATATGGTAGCCCTTGGCCATGTGTAGCTATTTACATTCAAACCAGTTAAAATTAAATAAAATAAAAAATTCAGTTTCTCATTTGCATCACACCCATTTCAAGTGCTCCTTAACCACATTCGCTAGTGACTACCATCCTGGGTGGTACAGGTCTGAAGTCTCGCATCACTGCAGAAAGTTCCTCTAGATACCACGGGGATGTCAGCATCCCGACAAAGCCATGAGAGGAAGGATGGACAAAACTAACTTCTGTCTTTCTTTCTCTATTGCCTTTTAAGTTTTTGGTTGTTGAGCAAATGGACCCAGCCAGGGGCCCAAATTACTGAAAAACAAAAACAAAAAACAAAACAAAACAAAACCCAGTAAATATTAATTAAAAAGCTCACCATATTTCTAGGGAATTTTCATTATGCATTGTCAAGGGAAGATGAGGACTGGAATGATAGCACCCTTTAACTGTCTACACAGTATTTTCTGGAAACTTCCCTCTTTAAATTTCACCTTCAGAAGTATTTTTTATATTCTATATATGCCAAGAGGCCTAGAATGGTTGCTAAGAAAATGGAAAAATACTTTACAAACTTTTGAGAGCAAGAAATATCACAGATGGTAACCTTTTACTGCACGGGGAAGAATGCTCAAATTCTTACAGGGGAAGTTGCATGGCCTGTGAAAAGAACAATATTAGCTTCCTTTTATGTATCATTCTAATTATCGATAATTCTATAACTACACATTTTAATTTCTTAAATCTTATTCCTTTAATGTTGAGCCTTGAAATATCTGTGGAGAGTCCTACAGGCCTGCTTCTGTGACGAATTCTAGTCACCCCCTTCAGGGTGCTCATCTCTCGTAAAATCTCATTTCACATCTCATCAGTTACAACCAGGAGCCGGGGAAACCGGTTTCTCATTTCTCTGAGTTCAGCACACAGACCCAAAACCAAGAGACCAGAGGACGAAGATTTTCCCCTAATGAGAGTGAGCTCAAGCCATCCGCACGTCTGGAAACGGAGCAAGCCCGCTGCCCTTTCCCATGGGGCGCCCAGCACAGGGAGCACTGGGATGCGTCTGCAGGGCATTTTAGGAGTCTGGGGAAAATGTGCCAGCGCTGTGGGCTCCAGGCGTGCAGTTACTGACCAAGTGATTGATGTTTGCTCCCTTTGCCCAGAACTTGGCGGTGATTTTGTTCAGAGCTCTGTAGACTCTGAGAAGTAAAAATACCATCACACGTTTCAAAAAGATGCTTTAGACAGCAGTTTCAAAAAGATGGCAACATTTTAGACCCACGCATGTGACTGAACAAAGAGATCAAGGGCTTCCTCCTTGTCGGTATTAATTGTGAACAGAAATGTACAGGTAACAGCTCCTGTGTAGAGGGACGAGAATAGAACTAAGGAAAGAACCCTTCAGGTTTCTTCTGAGTTAACTGTCCGGGGACGCGAGGGTCCTGTTGGGTGTATATTTAATTCTTCTGTTTCCACATTAAGCCTTTTAAGAAATCAAGCTATAACTTCAATCTGAGGAGAGAGTCAAGATGAAAACAAAGCACTCTACAAATGCACCAAAGGCCTGAACTCCCAGGTTTTTCCTCACCGTTAAGACAAGGTAGAGATCTTGCCACTGCCCGGTCTTATTTTAACTTGAATCAAATCATTGCATTCCGCACTTATCCTCGGGGAATGACTCAGCGTTACAAAATTCAGGTTCTTAGACACAAAGGACAAAGTCCAATCTAGAGTTCATCAGGTCATACAAAAATAAAGCACAATGAACACAGACAACAGCATTCTCTGGCTCTGAGAACATTTTTTTTTTCCCCTTTGAAAACTATGGGGTGGAGTAAGAAATTCGTGTGACTAAGAAAACACGCTCTATGCAGGTCTAAAATTGTGTGTCCCTGTCGGAGGTAAGCATGGTGACTGTGGCCTCCAACCACCTACATTTCCCAAGTTGAAAAATACCATTTATGACGTAGCCCTTTTCATTTAGCTCAGAGATCACCTCCTAGCTTATTTTTGTTGCATTGTTTTCAGGAAGACAAAATAGCCATATAAGGCTGGAGATTTTATTCAGGGGGCACCATCCAGTCCTTTGCTTGGCGGATACTAATGCAAAGCAACTCAAACACTGATTCCGAAGAAAAGTGTTTGCTTCGTATATTAGTTAATGTTTTTAAACCCATCTTCTCTATGATGCTTCACCTCTCACAGATGCACTTCATGGGCACTATTTTCTTTGATCCCCAGAACCACCCTGCAGGGGATTATCGGATACAATTGCTTAGTCCGATTTCACACACACGAAAACTGCGTCTCTGCGCTGCAGTGACTTGAATGCGCTCCCAACAATCAGGAAGTAACAGAGTTGCCGCTGAGGTCAGGAGCTCTAACTCCCCTGAAGTCTACTCTTTCTTTAATTCTTAGTAAAGTGCTATGTATTTATCCAACTTTTTGGTGGGGGTAGGATTAAGATTTATTTATTTATTCTTAGAGGAGGTACTACTGGGGATTGAACCCAGGACCTCATGGTTGCTAAGCATGCTAAGCTCTACACCTGAGCTATAGCCTAACTCCTCCCTTCTATATTTAAGAGGAGAGGGTGCAGTATTACTAGTGATAAGAACACGGACCCCAGAACCAGCTGATCTGAGTTTAGATCCTGGCTCTGTGAGCCACTGACCAGGTCACACTGGTCAGTCGACTGCTCCTCTTAGGCCTCTGTTTATTCATCTATAAAAAGAGAATAAAAATTGCAGTTCCCTTGCAGCATGGTTGAGAACCTGCCAAGAAAGCTAATGACTGCTTATAATGATGTCTTGCACATGGTAAAAGCTTATGTCTGTTTGCTGTTATTATTATCGAAAATTACTGCTCTCCTTATGAAGGGGAAAAACCACAAAGGGACCAGGCAGGGCCATTGCCTTCCTGCTTTTGTACTTCTGTAAAACGGCTTGCTTCTAGGAAAACGAAACTTACCCCTAAAATTCCATTGGGTCCCAAAAGCTCACTCCTGATTGGTCCATTTCTAACACCTTATTTGCATACGGCACAAACTTAATCAAAACCTAAAACCCTATAAAAGCGTGTGTAAGCCTACAGACGGGGTCCAGAGCTTGGAGTGTTAACTCCTCTGGGCCTGCTGGTGTAATAAGCCCGAGTTCTCCAACCCTCTGAGTGTCGCTTGGTCTCTCAATGGGATTCAGATTTCTATAACATTTCCATTGTGTTCCTCTTATCTCTATATTTACTTTTGTTTATTTTGCACCATTTCAGAGCAGAGTTCCCAGAGTGTTCAGTAGTATTTAGCAAATTTAGTACTTTTAGAAGAAAAAATATTTCTATATTTTGAGACCGAAAAAGTCTCTGACAATGTATATTTTCTGACAATTTTTATTTTGTTATCTTTACTCTGCTTAATTTTTAAATTGCTTGAGTGAATTCAAGTTTTTACTTGCTTAAAGCAAAGTCGGTTTTTCAGTCATATCCAATCACATTTTTACACGGAGGCCAAGTAAGCTCTCAGATTACTGCATCACATAGTTGATGATACATTCTTAATAAGACTTTTGTCAACCTACGTGGCATATTATAAGGGTTAGAAAAAGGAGGCCCTTCTTCAGGATGGAATCACACCATCTCCACTTGGCAAATTTAGCACAAGTGCAATTTCCCAATCACCCCCGAGCCGGGGAGGTGCCCTTGTGCAGTGAACAACCCCAACAACCAAGGCGATGGCCCTGTTTCCCAGAACCACAGCTGAAAAAGGCTAAATGCAGCCCTGCAACAAAGACGTCTGAAAAAAATGACATACCTCGTGGTACTTTTTCACAGTCTTCCCTGAACTGCACGTGCAGGACTTCCAGTTGACAGTGCCACAGCCACAATTTCCTCCGCAGCGCTGCACGAGGAGGCAGCGTGGAAAGAAGACGACGTTGGTCAGTTTCAGCTCCTCTCGCAAGTTGACGGAGTAATTCCTGGGGGTGCAACTGTAGCGCTTGACATCGTCATTGAGCCTGTCCAGGTCGACTGTTAAGAGACACACGCACTTGGTAAGCAAGCACGGGACGGGAGCGGCAACACAGCGTGTGCTCTGGGGAACAGGGTGGGAAGATTCTGTGCGGGCAACCTTAACCCAGGGACTGAATCTGTCCTAGGGATCTCAATAACTATCCCAAACACCAGCGGTGGAAAAGCTGATTTCTCTTTTGATCCTATCTGCCCTTCAAAAAACAAACAAACAAACAAAAAAGACAACAAAATGAAAACAAAAAAGCCCCTCAAAACCTTAGTATCTTGGCTCAAGTTTCCTTGCACAGCTTTAAATGCAAAAAAAAAAAAAAAAGCGCAGAGGAAAGAAAATGAAACATTCAGCAATTTACAGTAATTGTCTTTATCTTAAAACATATATATTTGTGTATAAATATTTCTTCTTGATTCTAAATATGTCCTGACTTTAAGCCATTACTTAAACATAATTTGACTTAGAGTGAGGACACATTAGGGACAATTACTCTAGTCCATTTACCTGGCGGTGAAATTTTACAAGTACATGAAGGGAATAAAAAGGTTTGTGCTTCATTTTAACTCCAAAGTCAAGCAGAATGTCAAAGAAAATAGCATTTTTTGGGGTTGCGAATGTGATGCACATTTGTGCCTTGGGTCCTAGATGGCAGTATAGCATAGTGGTTAAGTGCCAGGGCTCCGCACTGAAGTTACAGCTGAGTTGGCATCACGGCTTTGCCTCCTTTTCAGTCGGAAAGTTCCTGGACCACTCAGAACCTCTGTTTCTTCATCTATAAAATGTGAACAGTATAACCTTACCTATTTCACAGCAATAATCAAGGACTGAATGCAGTGTGCCTGGTACTCAATTAATGCTGGTTATTATTATTCATCTTGATTTATTTTGATTTCCCTCCTTTTTTTTTTTCTCTTTAAAGTCAAATGGTCAAAACTTAAAAGAAAAAAATTGCAGACCTTTCTCCTCTGTTTCTCTCTTTTGGCCATTATTCTATGTAAATTACCCAGGGAGTTGGTTATTGGGACTTCTATGAATTAAGAGCATCACCCTAAATTTTCAAATTTTAGTCATTAATATTTACGTGAATTAAATATATATTACTATATAACAGAGACTACAACTTAATTGTGGTCTCAAAATCCATCTAAAAATCCACCTATTTGGCACCCGAATCTTCTGGTGGGTGAGCACCTACATGACTATTTTCTCACAAGAATGCAGTTAGAAGAAAGTCCTTTGTCCCCATGGGCTGCACACCATTATCTAGTACACCTCCCTTGTCAGCAGCCAGGCCACCCCCGGAGGAATCCCACAAACGCTGGGCAGTTATCATCAGACTAACCCTGGACTCCAGCCCCATTAAATATCTTAGTCCTAAACCAAAGCTGCTTGAGGAGTAGTAAGGAGTATTCTTTGGGGGCAATGGTCAAAGGCTAAGGATGCTGTCAGTAGAACACGTGTAGGGGAAACAGAAACAGAAGGAGGCAAGAGTGGGTGGAGTCCACTTGACCCCATGAAGTCAGCTAAAAGGCTGGCCATGTGGTCCATGGCTCCTTGACTAAGGAATTAAATGGCAATTGGACTGATGCCCTGTCCTAAGAGCTTTTGATCCTCAAGGGCAAGGATTTTTCCCCTGACTGGGTTATATGCTGAGCTCAGGACACTGGGGGGGCTGAATAAGTGCAAAATAATTGCTGTGCATAATTTATTGCTGCTTTTTCCCCCCCTTCCTTTGTAAAGACATGTCATAAGTTTACCTCTAATCAATCCGGATTTAAATTGAATGAACTCTGTCTTGGGAAAGGAACCATTTTATTGCTGCTAAAGCCCTGAAAATAACTGCAAGCAAGGCAGAAAGGATTACATAAATGGATTAAGAAGCGCAGCAACCATCCATTACAAGTGTCACCTTGAGATAAATACTGATGCTGGCTGTGCATGCCTGGGCTGCGGACTGGGCTGATGCAGAGGCTGAGGCTGCTGCCTGTGGGGATGGGAGTCTGTTCTGCCTAATGCCTGGGAGCAGAGCGGTGCTGCTAGCAGGAAGCCGACGTGACGCATGGAAGGCAGGGTGGGCAGGAAGGAAGTAACAGGACTGCAGGTACTTGAGTGTAGCCTCCACCAGGCACCTGACACACAGGACTCCCTGCCGTGTCCCCTACCCTTTGCAGGTGGGCGTTACTTACCCAAAGTGGAAATTAAGCGGGAAAAATGCCTCAGGGTCTCTGTCATATTAGGCAGAATGGGGGGATGGCAGGCCACTTAGAACTGAAGGAAGAAGACGGACTTCCCTGGTGCAGAATCAAGCCACCAAGCTTCCCTGCATGGCGCTGTACTAGGACTGGAGTGGTGCACAGCTACCTCCTTATCCCTAGGATACATCCAAGCCAAATTCCCACGTGCTTCCCTATGGGAATTCAGCTAAATCCCAAAGCACCACTCAACAAATAGGATACGGCAGCATGCCTTGCTCATCTCGTAACAGAACTCTTCACGCCGTGTAACTGTGTCACTGACTAGCACTGAGCACCGCTGACTTCCGTTTCCTACCTGCCCCAAAGAGATTCACCATGCTGTCAGCGTCATGCATCAATTCATCGTGACGTGACTAAGAACCGTGGCCCAGTGTGACTCCTGTGGAATCCGGCTGTCCTGCTTATCAGGCGATTGAAACCGCCAAGGCACTCAATTCAGAACTAGAACTAAGAGGTCCTTCAGAGTGGATGCAAATAACTTCAAAGTACTATTGCAGACTTTCTGCAGGGGAGACTGGTTCTCCCATCAAAGAAGGCTGACTGGGCAGGGCAGCAGAGCAGGGAGCCAGGCAGGGGACTGAGCAGCAATTAAGGCTTCGGTCAGAGCTCTGGTCCGAAGGGAGGCTATGGTGGGAGCCTGGGGTGAGGGAGGCAGGCCACACAGTGCAAACCCAGGGAGAGGGGCTGCCCTATCCATTTCTGCTTCCATCTCCACAGCGGAACACTGCACAGCAGCAAGGATGTTCCCAATTTAATTCAAAGGCCCATTCATTTAGTCTAATTTCCCTTACTTCACCCAGGTTTCATTAAGTTTTAATCCTTCTTTGGCTGTCTTTTTCTTTTTTTGAAAATGGAGGTCCTGGGGATTGAACCCAGGACCTCGTGCATGCTAAGCATGCATTCTCCCACTTAGCCATACCTTCCCTCCTCTTTTGCTGTCCTTTTGAATTTGGGTCTTGCCTTCTCATGGATCTTTGACATCAGTAAAGCTTTTTGGGCTGTGTGTATGGACAGTCTCCTCCAGACATGTTAATCCAACATGGGACACTGCACAGTGCTGCAGGGAACACCTTTTTTTTTTTTTTTCCCCAGCATTAGCCTCAAAGTGCAGCCTAGTCACAGAGGTTCCTAGGCTGTGATCAGAGTTCTGGGATCTGAGCACTGGGGTGGGGAAGTGTGGAAAAGC